TACTGAGGAGGTCTACCCGCCTGTCTATCTGAACCTGCACGCATGAAATGCAACGTCCCCAGAAAAAGGGACGTCAGTACGAAATAATATACCGAGTATGCAAGGCAATAATATAACTGAAAGCTGAAACTGAACTGATAATATAATAGCTGAAAATAACTGGGAGTCAAAGATAATCTGAAGATAGGCTCACCTGTTGATACTGACTCAACTCTCTCAATATAGTAAATAAAATAACTGTCCGGCCCTATAAAGCTCGGTATATATATATAACTGCTCTGCCGTAGTATGCTCGCTCATAGGCGCTCGGCCATACTTGGCTCTGTATCTCGGTCAACTGGGCTCGCTCATAGGCGCTCGGCCACAGTTGGCTCGGTATATAACTTACCATCTGATCAGAGGTTACCCGATAGGGGCTTGCCCATCGATTATAGCTCGATGGTAATGAAAATACTGTAATACTGTATATATAGATTCTCTGCTCTTTTGACTGAAAAAAGATAATACTCAAGTGAACATAAAGTCCCGTTAAGGGAGAATACTTTAACTTATGAGACTAGGATAATGTATAAATTCGGGAGTATGAACTTCTATTTATGTCTCGTTATCAAACATATGTAATTACGAGATCATACCAAAATGAAGGAAGGGCTTAGCCTTAACATACCTGGAGTAGGAAAAAATCCATACAGTGATTTAACGTTAACAATTAACAATTGGGAGATTGTTAATTGTTGCTATTGTAATACGAAGTCTTCATATGCACGACATTAAACTTGAGCAAATATGTTGGTTTATCTGGCAAAAATGTGGTCCAACATGAAGACCACATGTATCATGGGCATAATCATGGGTTCTTTTTAACAGATCCTTGAATAGTCTTCATACAATTTTGAAAAAATTATCAAACTTGACAACTGCTACTACTTTATTTCTCCTAAAAAAACGTCAAAGCTCCAATATTAAAAGAGAGGACTCAACAACATCACTAAACGTGAAACCTCAAACTAGACAGAATTGTTCCATTTGGAATTCAAATTTTCAAAATTCCCTCACCTTCATTCTTTCTTTTGCCTTTCTGTATAAATCCAACTTTTTCCAAAATGAATTGATATCCATGGAAGATAGGTTTAGAGATGACTAATGTAATTCCACCTCTTACGTGTAAATGGCCTAAGGTTGTCCATGTGCCTACTAATTAAATTGACTAAAGGCAAGAGTCACTTACTCCACTTGCTGCCACATTGGTTGGGGGGTGGGGTGGGGGGATTTGTCCCCACCTACAATTATCCACAAATCCTTAATTACATGGTTAATCTCCCATTAAACCAATAATTAACCAATTACCCACATAATTAAGAATTGTCTCAAATTACTTAAAATACTACTCATTTTTAATACACTTTATATATCATACTAACATGGTCTTATGGTACCTTGTATGGTACTAGTCCATAATTATCGAGTATTATAGCTCGGACCGTATTTTATCTCAAATCGACAACCTTCAACGAAACTCATTTTCTTTCACGGTACTTATTGCTTGATATAAATAGCATAAATGCTTATAATCTCAAAAAAATCTCATCCCCGAGTCTTTGTCACTTAACTAAAGACGAAACTTTAATCGTACGAAATGCGAGATTTAACATCAGGTCTATCCAAATGCCCAATAGTCTCCCCCTGAATTCTTTCTCCAATTTCACTTGACCAGTGGTAGTGGTAGAGGTTTTAATAGTGGAATTTGGGAGAATCATCTCTTTCTCCTTATTGCTCTCCCTCGTGAAGAGGTGAAGTTGTAATACTGAAATATGTAGATTCTCGAAAGGTAACATCTAAGTTGACGAAGTATCTCCTATAGAGAGGGTTATTTGTACCCTTCCTATGTTGGAGAATAGCGATCGCGAAGAAGGAAACCAGAACTGGCCCGAAACCCATCCGAAACACACCCGAGACCCCCGGGACCTCTTCCAACCACACAAACCAATCCCAAAACACGATACGAACCTACTCGAAGCCTCAAATCACACAAAACAATATAAAAAACAACCCCAATTCAAGCCTAACGAAACTAATAAACTTTCAACTTCCACAATAAAGACACATTTAAGAGCTCTAAGGATCAAGTTTTCCACCATTTCTAATGTGAACAAAGCAAACACCCAAACACCTTCAGAGGAACAGTATAATCATTCTTATCTCGTAAAGCTTATAGAGGACTTTGAAAATGGAAAGTTTTAAGTGGCATTCTATTGATGAATAGACGACTACTAGAATGACATCCTAGTAAGGTTTTGGTAAATTCATGGTAAACATAGGAGATTTTGCCACTTCTAACAAATGGCAATTTTTTCTTTCAGTAACCCTAACTAGTTTGATGAACTCTCCCATGGATCCCCTAATAAGCAACAAATCTTTTATCCATGTTTTCTGTGCTATTGTCAGTTTGCAAGACTTTTATCTTAGCCTTATATTAAGTTCAAATCATCTTATGAAATGACTGAAAGTAAGAGAAACCTTCACCTTTGGCCTTTAACAAAGACACCCAAGTCATCTTAATGCAACAACCAATAAAAGTAACAAACCATCAGCTGCTAGACAAAGAAACCGTTTTGAGTAGTACCCCATGAATAGTCGAAAAATGAGTTGTATTTTTATTATCACTCAAAGAATAAGAGTTTCTAGTATGCTTAGCATATTCACAAGCATCACAAAACAAAGATTCAAACTCAATTTTGGGAAAGGAAAGCAAACTAGGATGTAACTTCTTTAAATAAAAAAATGATGGGTGTCCCAATCATATATGACACAGTATTATCTCTTGTTTGACATCCATATTTTCTCCAAAAAAGTCTTGACAGAGTCTCGAGTAACATCAAACATGCATAGGCCATTATGCAATTTGCCACTACCGTCCTCTTCCTTGTTTGAAGATCTTGAAAAAAAAAAATGATGAGAGAAGACCTCGGCACTATAGTTTAATTCTTTGGTGATGAATCTGATAAATAACAGGTTAAAAGGAAACTCAAGTACATGGAGAATGGATAACAATGTAATATCAGATATAAATACAACATAACTTGTTCTAGAGACAAGGGTTAGAGAGCTGTTGACTATTGTGACATAATGTACTCTGATACTAGGAGATTAGTTTTAAAAGCCTTTAGAGGAGCCTTTCATGTGTCTATTCGCACCAGAATCAATAATCCAAGGTTTAAGGTGAGCATTAAAGGCAATACCTGATTGTACATAATTAGAAGTAGCAACATTAGAACAATCAAGTTTGTTTAGGAGACGGCGAAGTTGCTGAACTTCATCCGAAGACAGTTTCTTCCGAAGCAGTTTCCCGAGATGACTCCACGTTTTCTGCAATATTAGCCAGAACTCTTTGATGGACCTACACGTTTTCCTCCACGATCTCTAGTTGGTCTACCATATAATTTCTAGCATGTCTCCTTTGTATGCCTCGACTTACTGCTGGTGTTCTTTATTAGATGTGATTTCCTTTGGTTGCTCGTGCAACAAAGTTAACCCAAATTTCTCGGTTGGAAGCATGACCAATAATCTACTCTCTTCCTATTGAACATAAGAGTATGCATCCTCAAGAGAAGGAAAATGAATTTTACCGAGAACTTAAACCCTGATCTGTTCATGCTCTTGGTTCAAACCGGCAAAAAAATCATAGACCCTTTCCTTTTCAACCAATTGTTGAGAGAGAACTGCATCATCGTTACACTTTGCTTGGAGATCCTGATACTAGTCAATCTCCTTCCATAACCCACTTAAATCGAAATAATAATCAGTGATAATCAATTTACCTTGCTTAGTGGCATGAATTTTGTTTTGAATTTCAAAGATCTGTGCATTATTTTTCCTGCGAAAGTAAGTGCGCTTAGCTAAATTCCAATTTTTTTCTGCAGTATCAAGCAATTAATAGTATTTAGAAATTCGAGGGTGCATAGTATTCAAAAGGCATGTCATAACAAGAGAATTATCAGAATCTCATTGACCATAGCTAGCATCAGTCACAACAGGTGCTTTTTTTTCTCTAGTAATATAACCGAGCAACTTTCTGGACTTGATAAAAAGCAAAAAAGATCTTGACGAAGCAAGATACGTACCAGCCCCATCAAATTTTACAACGTGATGTGAGATTGAAGTATTCTTTATTCCCCATTGAATAAATAGCAGGCAAAAATAATTTTTTCAAATCTGGAAAAAACGTTTTTGAAATGGACTTTCAGAGATGAGGAAAAACAACAAGCTCTCAAACCTGGGGAGAAAGAAACTGCGCACCTTCTCCGGAAAAGGGGCTTACACTGGAATCTCACTTCTGGTGCTCAAAGAAAATTGGAACTGGGATGGGTAGGCTAGGAACAGGTAGGCGAGCCCTTAGCAAGAAGAAATCTTGAAAAGATTCGCTCGAAGTGGCCTCATGCGCCGGTGCGTGACATTTATGCATTGCTGAAGCCATAGCTTCTAGTGGCGCACGACGATGCATCAGAGCTGGTTTCAGGCAGCGAAGTGGTGTGATTTGGTTGCCGTCGTCAGATGGATTGTGGTGATATTAGTTTCTTTATAACACTAACAGAAAATATACAAATGCATACAACTTCTATTGAGGGAGAAAAACTCAACTTCTTTCCGAAAAAAGGAACCTTAATGACGCAAGGGAGAGAAACTTACCTCCGAAGGCAGCAATGACTCTGATACCATTGAAGATTTCTAGGAAGAAAAGGCTTCTTGTATTTCTGTATAATGTTACATCCCATAAGCAAGGAAATTTATACAAAGCTAGTATTGCTAATAAAGGAAACAAAATAAATTAGTACAATCAGTGCAGAGCATTAATAAACCGAAGACAAGGACAATGAGGAAGCACAAGGATAAAATATATTTCCCTTATTGTTGATTGGCTTTATTTTTAGGTAGAATTTATTTTATTTAATAGCTCTACTGCAGATATTTTCTATCTAAAAATATACGTGCTATGCATTCAGATTTCGAAGTATGATGGGACTCAAAGAGTAGTTGACAGTGCTTTGGAGAACTTGACTGTTGATATAAACGTGCCAGAGGGCCTGTCTGAAACTGATATTCTGTTGACAGGTGGCATGAATGGTTCATTGTGGCATGTCTTCTGTTATAATTGAAGCTAAAAGTAACCTGATTGGAGTTGGATGCGTATAATTTTTATGATTATGGATGCAATAGTTTATATTGAATTAGTTCCGAATGTTTTTGGCTGTTATAGTGAAGTGCTGTTATAGAAAACATATATTATAATATAGCATGAAAATTGGTTCCATAAAAAACTTGACTTTTATAGTGAATGGCTGTTATATAGTAATGCTGTTATAGAGAGGTATGACTGTAGTTGCTTTATAATGAATAATACCATGCATCATTCTGAAGAGTCGAGATTTTTATAGCATATTCTCAGTTTCCTTTTCAGGATTTGTAAAAGGTTTCATGCTTTTTCTGAGCTGCTACATTGTAGTAAGGATTAAAGAATTGCTACGCAGCTGGATTTGCCTGTGAATGCCATCTTTTGTCAGGGAAAGTGGTGATACCTTAAACGCTTATTTTCAGTTAATTGGATCAACATGTGTAGAATTAATTTGGAAGGTTCAGGATTCATAACATCTTTCCGTCTTTGTGCACTTCTTAGTTTCTTTGAGTTGTCCCTTAGAAATCAGTGGACATTCTTTTTAAAGCTGGATGTCCTTATGAGAAATTATTTGCATAGGGAGTTTTACAATGTGTTGTAGATTATGGATTAGCTTATAAAGTACTTAAAAAATATGTCTCATGATAAAGCATAATCTGTAACCAACTTCAGTTGATAAGTTGATCTTGCATTTTTTACCAAATTATAATATTCAATTGCTCATGCTAAGTGTTTTACGATCACATATGTACATTCAAGTTTGTGGTTACAGTTTCTTTTGGAGCATGGACTGTCTTTATTAGCAGAGATCAAATTTTTTTGATCCATACTTGTTAAAAATTCATAAAGGTGGAATATATTTCCAATGCATTGTTTTGAAGTCCAGTGCTTTCGCAGTATATTTGAAGTTGGAAAGGTTGAAAAAGAATTAAATCAAGGGGTAAAATGCTTGCCAGATCGTGTTTGGCCTCTCAAAGTCGGATACCGAGAAGGGTACTGTGACTCACCAGGCCAAGTCTGGAGACCCCCAGGAGCTTTTGTACATATGCCATCGAATATATCTTGTATAAAGACGTCTCAAAAGCATCCTGCATTCGTCCGTGAAACTTCTTTAAAGCATGTTCTGTATCCTTTTGCGGGTGTAGCAATGAATAATATATAGCCGCATAAGATATGTTTGGTTCGTCATTGTTATATTGTTGTCTTCAATAATAGTAAAGTAAGTGGCTGGTATGATTTTAGTCTTTAGTGATTCATACTGACATTTGTTTTCAATCTACGCTTTGAGTTTATCGGGTTTATAAGATTTTACTTGCCTGTTTGTGTAGATTTACTAAAGCTACTTTAATGTTTGCTGGTGCAAAGCTTTGTTTCATCTTCCGTTGATCCATTTATTTTAAATACTTCGGGTGGCAAAATATGATTGTTCTCTACTTACCTTTTGAGTTCTGAAATGTTCACTTTCTGTAAATGTTTTTTTTTTCATTTACTTTTTTGTCACTTCTTGTATATTGGAGTACTAAAGTAGTTAAGTAGGACACACTTTTTATGTAGACCTTCAAATTTGTCAAAAGGTAACTGTTAACTTCCAACTTGTAGTGTCTCTACTCCACTCTAAACTCCATACCTACTCAAAGTAAGAGAACTAAAACGGGATGGAGGTCTTATGCTCTTGTTACTCTTTTTTTTCTTTTTTGGAGAAAGGTAACAATTATTTGTTCTTGTCACACTTGTGAGACTTAACACTAGAGCTCAGTATAACTACTCTGGGAGCTGAATCATCTGGTGGAACAGTCTACATTCTGAACCTTAGTGAACCACTAGATTTTAGTTCAAGCATACCAACTTTTAGAAGAAGAATTTCTGAGATTACTTCATTTGAGCATACAGTTTGGACAGCAGATTGTAGTCAGGATCAGAAACGAGCAGTAGTAGGCAAGTTCTGTACTTCGTTTTCCTTCATTTATGGATTATACCATGTTTTACTCTCATTTGAAGTAAATTCTGCTCTTTTGTGATTAAAGTTGCCTAACTTACTTATAGTTAAAACTATGGGTTGTGTCTGTTTAATTTATTTGTCCTGCTTGTTTTTTGAAGTTCCTGGAAAAAATACTTTCTTTATTTCTACTTTCTCAGATCTTGCTTAATGTTATATAGGAACCAATAGAGGAGCTGCAATGTTGGACATAGAAACAGGAGTGAAATCCTGGGTTTGTCGGTCTAAAAGCGACATTTTCTCCATACAATTTGATAATTCGGTAAATGTCTCGCACTCCATCCTTTCTGCTTTGAGTACTTATTATTACAGTGTGAAGTGTAATAAGTTGCAGAAGAGAAGTTATAATATTGTGAACGTTCATATTGACAATCACTTCACATGACTTTAAATACATGAAGATAAGCAAATTTGTTGTCTGTTAGTGAATTAGTAATCCAAATAGGTAATGCTGATTAACTTTTGTTGCTAGATTTACATAATTAAATCCAAAGCTATGCGCATTGTCACTTTCATTTATGGTATCTGTTGGAAACTAACTTGTTGGATTTTCATAGAAAAACAAGAAAATGTAGATGGTAAGAAAGGAATGTTGCCTTAGCACAAGCTTATTGTAGGGATTTTTAAACATACAATTTCAGTGCCTTATTTCCGAACTCGGATCGCTGGCTGTCTTCCTTATTGTTAAAAAAGAAAATAAGGTCCCTTTCTTCTTCTTGGATACTTGTGATTAGTGAGCCTATGGTAACCTTCTTCTTTTCGTGGTACACACCGACTTGAATGTGTTATATGCCTAGCTTCTTCAAACATGTCTGGCATCTCCAACAAGCCATTCACCTCAAATTTTTTTTTGAAATTGGAAATGAGAAGCATCCCTTGGAATCAGCTGTGACATTTCTTATGCATCATGGTTACTGATGTTTATGACATCGTGTTTTGAGAATATTTGTTTTCTTTTTCAGGAAAATGTTGTTTTATGTGGGCTAAGAAATGGAACAGTTTTGGCCATCGACATCCGTCAAAAACCAGGAGATTTTTCTGGTAGACTTCCTCAAAATAGAATTCCGTGCCATCCTGATGGGCATTCTAGTAGGGTTAAAAGCTCTGCTAGAGATTCCTTCCAGGTATCAAATGCTTTTGTTAGGAGTTGTGTGTACATTCTTTTCTTTCTGTGAACTGCCCTCCAGCCCTCCACATTTGTCAGAGCAATGATGAACTTCATCTGTTTCAAATTATGGGCATGGTTCGAGTTATATCAACACTTGAAGATGAGTATTTTGAAACAGGACACAATTGTTGGGGGTGTTTTGAGTTTAATTCTGAAGCATAAAGTTGAATCCCACTTTATCATCCGACCATCAAACATTCATTGAGAACTAACAAAGTTAGTCATTTTAGGTGGATGTCAAGTCTAGACGACAACCAAAGATAAAATTACAATGCTTAATGTAAGACAAAGTAAAATCACTAGGAGCTTATATCATTTGAACGTACTTAATCATAGAAATTGGTATAGTTGTCCCAAAGTTGCAGCAATGGAAGTATTCTAGAGGAGACTTATTCAGTTAGTTCAATAAAGATACCAATTACTTCCTGGTATTAATATCTGTTTTCGTTTAGGTAGGGGCTTGTGGGCTATGAATCCATAGTCCAAATCTTCGAGCAGTGACATGAAAACTCATATCATTTGCTCGTGTTAAACTCATCGTCATTGGATTGGTTTTCTCAAATGTCGCAGTAATGGAAGTACTCAGCGGGAAAATTGTTCAGTTACTTCAAGAAGACTCCTGTATTAAGATCAGTTTCATCTAGGAATGGCCTCATAAGCTATGAATATTCTGCTATGATCTTAGATTTTCATGTTTGATGGATTTACGAAAGCTCCATATTTTGTAAATGAATGCTTATACAAATTGGTGGATATCTTTGTCTGTGCAGATCAAAAGGAAGATGTACGACACAATATCTATGCCTTCATCTGTCTGTTGGTTAGTGAGCTTTCTTTGCAATATTAAATGAGCATCTTTAATCTCGTTGTTTAATTCGTTCATAACGTCTTTTCTTAAATTTTTGTCGCTTCTCTGATGTTGCAGTTTGGCATCTTTGAAACTTTATGATCAATGTTTCCTGGCAAGCTCTATGGATGGATCGGTTAGTGTCTTAGTGTCATTCCTTTGGCCATATACTTGGTTGTTCTCTGGGCTGTTTTTGCAATCCTTACCTTACGGTTTCTCCAGATGGTTGAAATAAAATATACTTTAATCCAATTTGTGAAGAATTAGAAACCATCCTTGAAGGGTTTTCTCAGTATCTTGATGGCCTGAAATCCCACACAAGTCTGTCCCTTAATCTTTGTGTTAGAGGTCTCCAAAAGAACTGATCTTTTTATATAAGGTAGTAGCAGGCGACCAGTTATTCTCCTTGCACATAATGTAGTTGTGCACACCTGAATCTCAAATTTTCACATTTCTTTAGGTTCCAAGAAGCTTATGATTATTATCCATTATTCTTTAGTTTACCATCAATCATGGTGTGCTAGTATTTACCTATTAGTTGCCTATTTAGACTTTCTTTGGGTGGTTATTACTCTTTTTGGTTCTCCTTTACAAATTCTCTCCTTTGTTGCATTCCCTGCTAAAAACATACTTGTGCAAGAACTTAAATTTCTTGTCAAAAACTGAATGGATTATTATGGGAGGTAAGTGTTATGCACTACGTGTCAATATCTTGGTGCGTATAAATTAAGTGATATGAGAAATGGATCACTTAATTAGTCTGTCTTGTACGTGTGGAAAATTTTGTAACATTGACATATATCCAGATAAAGCTTTATGATCATCCTCTAATGAGGGGAGCAATTCAATCTTATGAGGGAAATCAAAATTCTCATAGTTCTCCTTTACAAATTCTCTCCTTTGTTGCATTTCCTGCTAAAAACATACTTGTGCAAGAACTTAGATTTCTTGTCAAAAACTGAATGGATTATTATGGGAGGTGAGTGTTATGTACTACGTGTCAATATCTTGGTGCGTATAAATTAAGTGATATGAGAAATGGATCACTTAATTAGTCTGTCCTGTACGTGTGGATAATTTTGTAACATTGACATATATCCAGATAAAGCTTTATGATCATCGTCTAATGAGGGGAGCAATTCAATCTTATGAGGGAAATCAAAATTCTCATAGTCGAATACAGCTTGGAGTTGACCCATCAGAGACAATTGTCATGTCAGGTAGCTATGGCTTTATGACACTTGTATTTTGTTTGTGTATGAAAAAAATGCGAACTACTTTCTAAAGACATTCTTGTTAGGTGGAGAGGACTATCATTTGCGGCTATGGAGTATCAAATCTGGTGAATTGCTATTCGAAGATAAATTCATGGATACGATCCCCTCGGTCGTATGCTGGACAAAAACTGAAGGTATTACCAGCCTTTGCATTCATATCCCTCCAACAATACATCTTTTTTTCCATGATCGAAAACGTCCAATTTCTGACAGGCCTACTGGGAGTGGGGAAACATATTCAAGGTGCATGGCTTGGATCTGAAGAAGGGTTGTTTTTCATGGACTGGCCTTGAGGCATGTGCTTTGGGTGGTTTCTTACTTGGAATATTTAGAACTTTGCACATGACTATCAGCTGGTTTTGAATGATACACAACGTACACCTGGAGATGAATGGAAACTGACTGACAGTATATGGAAGCTCGTCGACACTAATGAAATCGACTTTAGCTGAAATTAGGAGCTGAGACTGAAAATTTGGCTTGCCTCAAGAAGTTTCTTCCTTCCCATATTATGCAACTTACAGAAGAGTAGACGTCTGGCACTGGAACAATCCAGGATTGTAGGTTGTAACTGAAACAGAGTTTTACGGATTTGTTTATTAGATTAATATTTTTTTAGTCCCTTTGGCTAATCATGTATCTTCTGGAAATTTTATGCCCTGAAGCAGCTGTAACTATTGTTGGCTTATCAAGCATTAGCAGTTTAGCGTTCACTTTAGGTTGGAAGATTATATTTGAGAAAAAAAAGAAGGATGAAGGAATAGTCAACACGGGAGCATTACTGAATAATTTATGAAGTTTGTCAAATGTACACTTCTCTTACACGTAAAAAGGATTTTATGCACCTTTGCACCATTTTATATACTAAAAGGTTTTTAATCGAAGTGCCTAAATGAGTGTGTATACGGTAGAAATCGGGCTTGTCTATGACATGGTAGATCAGACTCGGAACATGAGGGATTGAAGATCGACTCTCGGTCCCACCGGGCCAAAACCTGAAATCAGAATGTCCGTCCTCAAGAACATTCAGTCCGTGATCCCGGAATCGAACTTGACCCCGAACGAGTTCGAGAAAACATTGTTAGTGTAACCAACAGAATATTGAAATAACAGAAGGCCGAAATATCCGTGACCGGTCGGATATTACAGCGGGAATCTCGGCACGTATCAATAAGGAACCGACAAATCAGCAAATCAAGAGATTTTTACCTTTTATGGAATTGTACCTAAAGTAGGACTCCGCTACTACATAAAGGGTGTTTGATTACTTGTAAAACATACTGTAACACACATTTCAAAGCAATACATTTTTTTTTGTCTTTAAGTTCTTATTAAACTATGCCTTCTTACCGATCGAAGTTCATCCAGTTTGAAGGTGTTCAACCTCACAAGGCTGTAATTGTTCAATTTGTGCGGTTTGAATTTACTTTATCATTGTTAATTTCAATTGGAATTCAATTCATCGCTTTGTGTCAAGTTAATCCACGTATCCTTAAAATCACTTACAAATTCAATTGTTATCCGATTTTGAGGGTAAACAGTTTGGCGCCCACTGTGGGGATAAGGATAATAGTGGTTATTTGACACAAATTTCCATAACACACACTACTTTACACTTGTTCTTTGAAGTGTCTCTGATTTCAGGTTAAAACTAAAAATGTCAAACTCTCAATCAGCACCCTACATGTTGACAATGAGTCCGACTACCATGGGAAAACGACAACGTAGCACCCGGAAACGAGGTGCCCCTAGTCGACCTCGACGGAGTCCCGGCCGCAGACCCGCTCGACATTAGCTCACATGTGGCCATCAACACAAATTTACCCACCGATCCTGAGGACAACGTCCGCAGAGATGTTCGATCGGTTGCACAAAGCACACACAACGGCGAAGATGGTGGAATCAACTTGCGGGTAATCTTCGAAATGTTACAGGCTTAACAGGCGGCGATAGCCCAACTTCAGAACCAGAGCCGTGCGCCGAGAAGGATTGAGTCCGAACCATCTCGGGAAGTTGTCCACAGAGATGAACCGGCCTCAAAGAGATCGAATGAGAAGGAAACGGGGACCAACTCGGTGATCATGAAGATGCTCGAAGAACTAACGAAACAGATAGAGTCGGGGGAGAAGAAAATCGAGGCAAATGATAAGAAGGTGGAAACCTACAATTACAGGGTCGATCAGATCCCAGGAGCACCACCGTTATTGAAGGGCCTAGACTCCAAGAAGTTCGTACAAAAGTCTTTTCCTCCGAGCGTGGCTCCCAAGCCGATCCCTAAGAAGTTCCACATGCACGAGATTCCTAAGTACAACGGAACGACCGACCCAAACGAGCATGTTACCTCCTACACATGCGCTATTAAAGAGAACGACTTGGAGGATGATGAGATCGAATCTATCTTGCTGAGGATTTTCGTAGAGACCCTGTCAAAGGGAGCTATGATATGGTATCACAACTTACCTCCTAATTCTATTGACTCATTTGCTATGCTTGCACACTCTTTCGTGAAAGCACACGCCGGGGCTATCAAGGTCGAAACCAGGAAGTTAGACCTTTTCAAAGTAAAATAGAAGGATAATGAAATACTCAGAGAGTTCGTGTCCTAGTTTCAAATGGAACAAATGGATCTGCTGTCGGTCGCTGATTATTGGGCCGTTCAAGCTTTCACCCAAGGACTCAATGTTCGAAGCTCGGTGTCTTCACAACAGTTGAAGCAGAATCTGATAGAGTATCGGGCTGTTACTTGTGCCGATATGCATAACCGATATCAATAAAAAATCAGAGTCGAAGATGATCAACTCGGGGCTCCTTCCGGGTCCGTTTATCCTGTCAGATCCATCGACAGAGTCAAGCAGGAACTTTGTCTTTCAACGACGAGGACACAAAAGGGATCATACAGCCCCACAACGATGCACTGGTAATATTTGTACTCATAAATAATTCTCGAGTTAAGCGTGTATTAATTGATCCAGGTAACTCGGCCAACATCATCCGGTTGAGAGTCATAGAACAACTCGGTCTACAAGATCAAATCGTGCCTGCAGTACGAATTTTGAACGGATTTAACATGGCATGTGAAACCACTAAGGGGGAGATGGCATTACCAGTGAATTCCGGCGGGACCGTCCAAGAGGCCAAGTTTTATGAGGAGACATGAGGTACAACGCCCTATTCGGGAAACCAGGGATCCACAACATGATGGTAGTGCCCTCGACTCTTCACCAAGTGTTAAAATTCCCAACGCCAGGAGGGATTAAAACAATCTACGGAGAACAACCAGCCACAAAGGAAATGTTTGCATTCAAAGAGGTGGTTCTGATATCAGCACTCGCAACGTCAAAGGAACTAAGTTCGGGTATAAAGCAAGAAACTAAATAGAAATTACCGACACCGGCCACTGCCCAACCGAATAAACAGGGGACTGATGAAGACGATGATTACGGGGTTTCCAGATCTTTTATAGTCCCCAATGATTCTGATGCCACTAAATCAACGGCCGAGGAGCTGGAGCATGTCATATTGATCGAGTATCTACCCGATCGGAAGGTATACCTGGGCACGGGGTTAACTCCCGAGCTCAGGAAAAAACTCATTCAATTTCTTATAGAAAACATAGATTGTTTCGCCTGGTCCCATCTTGATATGACAGGGATCCTACTGGAGATAACCACTCACAAGCTAATCCTAGACCCGAAATTCCACCGGGTCAAGAAGAAGAGGAGACCCCACTCCGAGGTCAAACATGCTTTCATCAAGGACGAGGTATCAAAACTCCTTAAAATAGGGTCCATTCGGGAGGTTAAATACCCGGATTGGTTAGTAAACATAGTGGTAGTCTCTAAAAAGGGAACAAATTAAGAATGTGTGTAGACTATAAGGATTTGAATAAGGCGTGTTCCAAGGACTCTTTCCCTTTGCCCAACATCGATCGCACAATCGATGCCACGGCCGACCATGAGATCCTCAGTTTTCTCGATGCCTACTCCGGGCACAACCAAATACGGATGAACCTGGATGATCAGGAAAAAACCTCCTTCATCACTAAGTACGACACATATTTGCTATAACACGATGCCATTCAGATTAAAAAACGCCGGTGCTACTTATCAACGATTAGTAACTAGATGTTTGAGGAAAACATAGGAAAATCAATGGAAGTTTACATTAACGATATGTTGGTTAAGTCCCAGCAAGTAGAGGACCATTTAAAACATTTGCAGGAAACCTTCAGCATATTGAAAGAGTACAATATGAAGCTGAACCCAGAGAAATGTGCGTTTGGAGTCGGATCAGGTAAATTCCTCTGATTCATGGTATCCAATCGGGGAATCAAGATCAACCCCGACAAGATCAAAGCCATCGAAGATATCACGGTGGTAGACAACGTGAAGGCCGTGCAAAAGTTAACTGGGCGCATAGCCGCCCTGGGGAGATTCATCTCGAGGTCCTCCGATAAGAGCCACCGATTCTTCTCGCTACTAAAGAAGAAGAAGAAATTCTCGTGGACCCCGGAATGCCAACGAGCCTTGGAGGAACTCAAGCGATATCTATCGAGCTTACCACTGCTTCACACACTGAAGGCAGACGAACATATATACCTATATTTGGCAGTATCGAAGATAGCGGTAAGTGGAGTCCTAGTTCGGGAGGAGCGAGGTACGCAATTTACAATTTACTATGTTAGCAGGACTCTGGGTGAGGTCGAAACTAGGTACCCCCACCTAGAAAAATTGGCGCTCGCTTTCCTAAGCGCCTCTAGGAAACTGAAACCATATTTTCAGTGCCATCCTATATGTGTTTTGACTACTTACCCATTGCGAAATATAATGCATAAACCCGAACACTCGAGACGATTGGCCAAATGGGCCGTAGAAATCAGTGGGTATGATATTGAATATCAACCTCGAACAACCATTAAATCTCAAATTTTAGCATATTTCGTGGCCGACTTTACGCCGGCCCTAATACCCAAGGTCGAAAGAGAATTGTTGGTAAACTCGGGGGCGTCTTCGAGAATCTGGACCCTATTTACGGATAACGCCTCGAACGCAAAAGGGTCTGGACTTGGCATCATATTGAAGCCACCAACATGCAATGTAGTTAGACAATCTGTTAGGACTGTGAAATTGACTAACAACGAGGCCGAATATGAGGCCATGATTGCAAGTCTCAAACTAGCCAAACACTTGGGGGTGGAGGTGATCTAAGCTAAGTACGACTCCCTCCTCGTGGTGAACCAAGTTAATGGGACATTCGAGGTTAGAGAAGAACGAATGCAAAGGTACCTGGATAACTTGCAGGTAACATTACATTGGTTCAAGGAGTGGACTTTACAACACGTAGGTCCTCGGGTTCAAAATGGTGAGGCTGATACCCTTGCTAACTTAGGGTCGTCGGTCGAGGATGACGAGCTCAACTCGGGGGTAGTCGTGCAACTCATGAGATCGATAGTGGAAGAAGGTCATGCCGAGATAAACTCTACAAGCCTGACTTGGTATTGGAGAAACAAATATATAGAATATCTGAAGATCAGATCCAAAAGAATCGAGGGTCCTACGTACGAAGGCAATCCGATTTAGCTTGTATGAATACAAAACTTTGTTCAGAAGAACGTTCGATGGCCCACTAGCGATATGTCTAGGACCGAGAGATACCGAATACATCCTGAGGGAAGTTCACGAGGGCACCTACAGAAATCATTTAGGCGCCAAATCATTAGTTTGAAAGGTAATCAGAGCCGGCTACTACTGGATCAACATGGAAAAAGA